AGACAAACACATTAATGATTATAACTCAGTGAATTTAACATATTTTAAACTAAACCTTGGCGTGGTAGTAGCTGAGGTTTATCCCTACCACTTACTCAAGTGCTATTAGATCAGAAAATATACTTTAAAACAGACAAGCATGGCACAGGAAGGAAGGAATTCTACTTTTATTGTCTTTATCTCTATCTCAGCTGATGCATTTTAATTTGTTGAACTTGTCACGATAAGTAAAAGTAAGAGACTAAAAAATAAAAGCTTAAATATTTTCTTCTTCTTCTTTTGGCTGCTCCCTTCAGTGAAATAACTCGCACAAAGACTTGTCAATTTTTTTACACCGGACTTCCTTCCTGACACAACCACAGACCACCGAGCTACCACAGCCCTCTGTGTGGAGCAGAGAGCTGCTATCTAGGACATCCAATAGAGCAGATGGTGGAGGTTAAGGGCCTTGCTCAAGGGCCCAGGGTGGGGCAAATGCGGGTGGAGGAAGGTTTGGGTGTTTTACCTTTCCCACTCATATTATGATGTTGTCGGTTCGGGAAGTTGAGTCTGCGACCTTTCCGATCACAGGCTCACCTTCTCTAACCTCTGCGCCACCAGCCACCCAAAACAAAGGCTTTAATATAACAGTGTGACTGAAGACTTGCCCAGGTGTCCCTGTGATCCTGCTAAAAGCTAGCTTAGTAGCTAAAAACTACAACAGTTAGCATAAGGAACATACCACAGAAAAACTACAACAGTTAGCGTTTAAGCTAATGTGCTTAACAACAAAGTCCATGCTCAATAATCCAGGTATACAATCCAACATTTTTCAGTCAGGTCATCTGGACAATTTCTTTTTTTGTGCTGAAACGTTTCACCTTCGATCCGGAAGGCTTCATCAGTCAAGGAAACACACAACGCAACTGATTCTTCCCCCAACAGCTCACTCTAAAGTGGAACAAACCAGTTCTGCTTGTGATAAGATGGTCTCTTTGGTACGCCCCCTCCTCTATTGCCGGCCCTCTTCCTTGTTGAAAGTCGTGTCAAACTGGTTGAAAACAACAAAGTCAACAACAAAGCACTAATATGCTTAAATAAGTTTTGTTTGTGTGTTTGTTCTTTACAGAGACACACGAAGTGACTGCCTCAAGATTTCTGTCTATTCTGGACCGATGGCCTCACTTCAGAGGTTTTACTACGATGAATGAATTCACCAATGAATGGCTGCAGAGGTTGTGAAAATATCTGAACAGTGTTAGATATTACTTCAAATGGGTCTAAAGTGTAATCAAGCCTATTGCTTCAATAAAATAAGTTTGTCAAAAAAAATAAAAAGGTCCGCAATACAAACCTGAGGTGCGCTGAGTGAAAGATGAACCTGGCAGAAAGGTTCACACAAACAGCTATAACTGAGTGACACGATGGGAAATGTCGGGTTGGGATGAAAAGACATTATTTGCACCGTGGCGCTGGAAATAAGACAGTTCTGAACCAGCAACTGAGGTGAAGATGCCTTGTGGCTTAAATGTGAGGATAGCAGCATCAGGAAGTGACCACAGTGTCAAAAAATAAATAAAAATAAAATAAAGAGTTTGCTTTAGTCTGCTGCCTGAGGAAAACAGGAGTTAAGGTTTTTACTCGTGTCTGTGTGTGTTTATTTGTCTGTAGTGTTAGCAAAATCTCTCATGAACCACAAGAACAGATTTTTATGTTATGAGTGCTTAGTGTATATTTAGTTGATGTTTTTCTTAGTTCATATCTTAGATGTTATTACTGTTTTTCTTATACATTTTATTGTTGGATGTAACTGGGACCCTGTGTACATAATTTCGCTCCACCACATGTACCACATGAGGTGCGAATGACAATAAAGAAACTCTGACTCTGACTCTGATCATGCCACGTGCTAGCTTAAAACTTTGGTGTTAACTGTTCTTGTCAACATCGTTTGTTAGCAAAATATCTTATCACACACAGAACAGATTTTACTTAAACTATCGATATAATCATAGGGTGGCACGGTGGCGCAGTTGGTAGAGTTGTTGCCTCTCAGCGCGAAGATCGAAGGTTCAAATCCTTGTCCAGGACCTTTCTGGGTGGAATTTTCATGTTCTCTCCGTGCTGCATGGGTTTTCTCCGGGTACTCCGGTTCCTCCCACAGACCAAAAACATGCATGTTAGACTGATTGGTAACTCTAAATTGTCTCTAGGTGTGAGTGAGAGAGTGAATGGTTGTTTGTCTTGTTTGTCTCTATGTGTCCCTGTGATAGACTGGAGAACTGTCCAGGGTGTCCCCACCTCTTGCACAGTGATAGCTGGATATGGGCACGATTGACCCCATGACCCGAAAAGAAAGAAGCAGGTAAAAGATAATGGATGAGATGGATATAATCGTACAGCTAATCAAAGTTATATAGCACAAAATTAGATTTTAACTCTGTCAATTTCACATATATTGATTCAAAGTTTACTGTGGTAGTAGCTGAGAGTCATCCTCAACACATATTCCGAGTACTGCCAAATCTCACCAGATTTCTCAGTTTACTCTTACAACCAGTACGACACAATCTGCAAGATTTGATGAAGACAGGTCTAACTCTGATCCCTCTCATCACAAAACGATGTTAGTTTGAAACTCGGGTGTGAAATGTTGTTAAAAACGTTCCGTCTTTAAATTTAAAGACATTGGAAAAGTCTTACCTGTAGGATTTTGCAGCGCTCCGAGACACAGTTGTTGTCTTCACAGGGATGAAACATGCCCAGTGTCACGCAGTTCAGCAGGATCACCAGCATTGATGCTCGCTCGAACCATGTGCAGGAATGGAGTTAAGGAATACACCACAGAAAAACTACAACACTTAGCATAAGGGACATTATTTGCAGAAGATAAAACAGAAAATGAAGTCAGAATTAGTGAAAAACAAGCTAAAAACTAAGTCCAACAAAATAGTGGCTTAAAGCTGAAACTAACAAAACAGTAGCTAAAAGGTAAAATCAGAAATGTGGTTAAAACTAAAACAGCAGGACATTAGACTAAATGTAAAAATAGCAATAAAAAGTAGCTAAAAGCTAAAAATTAAACAAATTATGATGAAAATTTAAAAGCTTATCAAAGCTTTGTTGAGCTCAGGTGCTTTTGTGTGACAAAATAAATTTAAAGAAGTAAATAAATAAAAAAACAAGGATCATATCTGTTGTGTTTTGAACATGCCAAACATTTTTATGTCTAAGCAGCTGAAAAAGCTAAATGTATTCTGAAGTTTTTAGTCCAAAATTTTTTAAAGAAACGTTGAACAGGAAAACTGAAATTTGACTCAACGTTGACACAATAATAGAAGCAAGCAAAGAGGGAAAACAACCCAGCAGCATTTCCTCAAGTGACCTCATTATCCCCCCTCACCTGGAAATTGATGCAGGTTTATCTCTTTTTTCCCCATTTACAACTAAACACAGTTATAGAGAACAAAACGATCCACATAAAGATGAAGGGAGCGTAACGTCCCACCTGTGGCTGCATTGTTCCTGTTTCACACTGAGAACCATAGATCTGTTAGCACGACACGCTGCTGAATGTTGCTTCTGTTGGCAAGGGAGCCGGAGAGGCACTTCAGAAGAGACAGTGGAAGGTGAAAGAGAAAACATCCGAGTCAGATATTGGTGGATGAATATGTCTTCATAATGTTATTGACTGCAGGGTTGGAGTAGATGGTCTTAATGCCGTTAGGCCAAACCAACAATTTGACAACAATGGGGACAGTAAACAATGAGGAGACTTTTACACACACACACAAGTTTGTCTTTCTGGATTTACAGGAACTTTGCATTGACGTCCATTCATTTTTCATTTATTTCTATAGCCTAACCCTAACCCTAAACATAACCATTACCAGTACATACCCAACCCTAAACCTAACCATTACCAGTACATACCCAACCCTAAACCTAACCATTACCTGTACATACCTAACCCTAATCCTAACCATTACCAGTACATACCCAACCCAAAACCTAACTATTACCTGTACATACCCAACCCTAAACCTAACTATTACCTGTATATACCCAACCCAAAACCTAACCATTACTAGTACATACCTAACCCTAAACCTAACCATTACTAGTACAAACCTAACCCTAAACCTAACATTACCTGTACACACCTAACCCTAAACCTAACCATTACCAGTACATACCCAAAACCTAACCATTACTAGTACATACCTAACCATAAACCTAACCATTACTAGTACATACCTAACCCTAAACCTAGCCATTACTAGTACATACCTAACCCTAAACCTAACATTACTGTACACACCTAACCCTAAACCTAACATTACCTGTACACACCTAACCCTAAACCTAACCATTACTGGTACATACCTAACCCTAAACCTAACCATTACTAGTACATACCTAACCCTAAACCTAACCATTACTAGTACATACCTAACCCTAAACCTAACCATTACTAGTACATACCTAACCCTAACCTAACCATTACCAGTACATACCTAACCCTAAACCTAACCATTACCAGTACATACCTAACCCTAAACCTAACCATTACCAGTACATACCTAACCCTAAACCTAACCCACCATCAGCACTTCTTCTTAAGTGGCTCAGGCTTTGGGCCCCATAAGGAGCAGTTGGTCCTCACAATGGAGTGTAAGTTGGAAAAATGGGCCTACAATGTAATAAATACACCCCCCCCCCCACACACACACACACACACACACACACACTCACACAGTGCCGCCTCTTTTGGGCTACATTCCTGAGCTCAAACACCCTCCATTGCATTTGTCCCATATATTACAGATAACTACTGCAGCAGCCTGAACCTAGCCTGGTTAACTGGGTTATAAACACAGTTTGTCATCTATATTCTGTGTGTGGGGTGTGTGTGTGTATACGTGCGTGCGTGCGTGCGTGTGTGTGTGTGTGTGTGTGTGCATACGTGCGTGCGTGCATACACACGTGTGTGTGTGTGTGTGTGTGTGTGTGTGTGTGTTGGGGGGGTGATATGTTAGCTAAACAAAAACCAGATTTCCTTGTGTGTGATGGTTTAAAAGGGTAAATGTGAGCACCGAGGCCCAGAGGACAAACGACTCGTCCATCTTTCACAGGATTAGGCTTCTCATGATCATTTGTCTCTCATCCATTATGTAACCAGGTCTGCTGGATTCCACAGACAACTTCCCTTTTTTCCTGCTGGTCTAATACAGCCACATATTTATGGCCTGCAGCTGATAGGTACATGGCCATGTGTGCGTGTGCATGAGGTCATTTATCTGTGCTGTTAGCAAAATGTCTCATGAACCACTGAACAGATTTTAATTTAATTATTTACCAAATGTAAATCTACGACTCATTTACTTGTAGAGTTAATCTAATTGAAGATGATTTATTTTTAGTAACAAGCACCTTGTTGCAACCCTTGCTATGGCACACTCTTGTTTGTTCCGTCATTATGTAATCAAACCACGATATTCATCAGTTGTTTTCTATTTTTAAAGTAAAGTCTGTTTCACAAACCAGCTTCATAAAGTATAATAAAAGCAATGCTGATGATCTCAATTGTGCACTTTTGTCAATATCGGCTTGTAAAAGCCGATATTTATTGAGTTTATACATCATCTAAACTTTAGATGCTTTAGATTCTAAAGCATCTATAGGTGTCTAGACAAGTCCAAGTCTTGTAGAAGTTAAAACATGGTTTAGAGATTAATGAAACATCTACCTGTAGGTGAAATTAGTCACAGTGAGTAAGGATCAAAGTTCCTTATATAGCAAATAAAATTATGTTTCATGTCTTCATAGAAATGTATGACAATATTGTAACATTCACAATGGCATTTGTTTCCTTTTTCAGCTGATGGAAACAAGATAGTGGGTTTTATTTTACTTTAACCAGTGAATACAGGGTGCAGTGATGGGTACGGTAGTTACAGCCAGTTATGAATCTTAGCACACCATGATAGGCAGCATCCAAAATCTGCAGGGTGCTTGCAGGAGCATTCATGTAAATAATCTCACCATAGTCAATGGAGGGAAGGAAAGTAGCAGTTGCAAGGTATTTCATAGCGTCCAGAGTTAGACAGGATCTATTTCTGAAAAAGAAACCCAATTTTACTTTCAGTTTTTTTAAATTTCTTACGTACTTACTTACATACTTATTTATGTACTTACTTACATACTTATGTACTTACATACTTATTTACGTACTTAAATATTAATCTACTTACCTACTTACTTACTTACCCACTTAGACATGGCTTACTTATTTACATACTTACTTAAGTACTTATTTACTTGCATACTTACATACTTACTTGTGTACTTACATATCTACTTATATACTTGCGTACTTACTGTACATACTTACTTGTCTACTTACTTAAGTACTTACTTAAGTACTTATGTTCTTACTAGGGGTTGAACGAGTATATAATTTTTAAACTCGACATTAACATAATAAAACCCGAGTAGAACTCGAGTATTTGATGACGTCATAGATCTCAAGATACAAAAATAAATAAATAAATAAAACCACAAAAAAAGGTAATTATTTACAAAAAAAGACCAACAAAGCATTGGGAGCGTATATTATGCTCCTACCATTTATCATACTGCAAATAAGTCACAGGAAAGACTAAACTTTTAGTTATTATTATTAAACTGCAAACGTGAAGAAACACGCAGCACGTCAAAAACGAAACTTAACAGTGGGGGGGGGGGTCGACCACCCCGCACCACCACCAGTTGTGGTGCGCATTAAGTTTAGCTTTAGAGATTAATATGTTTATAGATTATTTTTATAGGTTTAGAGATGAATATTTTTTGCTTTTTGTTTGTGAAACAAGAGGAAGCTGGTTCTGGTTCGGTGGATTGCACCCGGTGTTACACCATACTCTGTGACCTGCAACAGTGCAACACCGCCCCCTACGGTCATATGGTGGTCACATAATATGACGTCGCTACGGACACTCGACCTTACATTTTTAACCTCGATAGATGTTCTAGCAATCGATGTGTAGATTACTCGAGTACTCTGTTAATGCCCTAGTTCTTACTTACATAAGTATATACAGACTTGCTGAAGTACTTACATACTTGTTTGTTCAGTTTGCCATGGTCAGAGCAGCAAGGCCCTTACGTTTGTACACGGGCCATGGTGTCATGGACCCGACTCATATGGCCCTTCCTACAGCTGGTGGGCTCACAGGAAAGCAAACCCCTGTTGCTCCTTCAGACTGAGCCCAACCGGGCTCTATGAGTAGAGACCCAGTCACCTGGCGTTCACCAATAAGCCCCTCCCCAGGCCTGGCTTCAGGATAGGGCTCTGGTAACTCATGTCCTAGCAAGGGACCCTGAGTTATTTGATCTTTTCTGTCCATACAAGTGTTTTGAATCTCTTTGTCTGGCCTGCCACCTAGGACCAATCTGCTTTGGGAGATCATTCCAGCATAGCTCCTAGCATCATTCAGTCACACAAACCACAATGAGGTGGCGATTCAAGGGGGATATAAGGAGGATTTATTTTGACGATTTCACCACAGCTGCCACTGAAGACTGGGTACAGCCATATAAATCAGTTCTAATGTAATTGGTGCTCTTTGACAGGTTTTCATGGTTTCAAAGCTTTTGTCGTGTGTTGTTTGTGTTAGAGAAAAGGTAAATTGAAGGAACAAAGTACATGGTTGGATTTCTATGTTTAGCATAGAAGATCCAGTTTTGTAAGGGCTACAGCTATAGACTAAACATTGAAATTACAACATTTGGTTATCAGGTGTGAACTTTAGCTAA